CTGTGAAAAAGTGACCCTAGACGGATAGGTCACCGTGATAAAGGGACCCTAGATATCCCATTTATGTTATTTATACCTCTACAGAGGAAGCATTGAGCCCCCTCCCCCACCAATAAAACACGTATTGTGATGTAGATTCTCTTGTATTGTAGAGTTGGTTGAACTAATATACAAAAACGTCGACTCTCGGCAGAAAGCTGCCAGTTTTATTTACATTCTTATTCGTACTTTGTTCTAATGTTGGACGGGAATTTCTTCCAACCAACTTGTTATGCGCCTTATATTCCGTTGACTCCGATTTCAGCCAGCTTTTTGTTTTTAGATTTTATTCCATAGTTTTTGTAAAACCAAAAACAAACAACAAGGCAGCAGTTTTTTTAAGTGTTTTTTTTTCTAGAGTTATCTCTCCAAGATGGGTTACTGTCCCCAGCTAACGAGTCTCATCTGTCCGGTGGTTCGAACTTGGGACTTTTCGGTTAATCTACTGGGCTTTACCGGCCGGACCACACCACCCTTCTCACATTGTTCTAACCGCTTCAAGCTTTGGCTGCATGTACATAGTTAGGAAGTAAAGTTGGCGTTATTTCATACATACAACAGACACAACAAGCTAGCCAGAGATCTAAGATAGTTAACCTTACCACAGATCGGTCTTGCAATGGTTCAGGTTTAGCTAACAAAAAAAAAATACATATCAGCGTCATTGACGTCTGATAAATTATGGTGCCAGTCACGAGGAAGTGACACACATGTGTGAATGACGTGTTGACAAACCCCTGACACTGACATACATGTCAGGCATTTTGTGCTGTAGAAATAGTCAGTCAGTTTGCTGATTTATGTTTGACAGATGCTTCATTCGCTGACTGACACAGTAGGGGCACACATCTGCACATGTGTAGTGTGCATGATCTGTGTAAGGTATGATCTGTGATACACGCAGGATCTTTGTCGTGTCTATGATCTTTGTCGCGTGTATGATCTTTGTCGTGTCTATGATCTTTGTCGTGTCTATGATCTTTGTCGTGTCTCTGATCTTTGTCGTGTCTCTGATCTTTGTCGTGTCTATGATCTTTGTCGTGTCTATGATCTTTGTTGCGTGTATGATCTTTGTCTTATATAATCTGCTTCATGCAAGATTTGTTCTATTATTGTTATAATTGCGAGTCATTTTTTTCATTATCCGTGCAATATAACCGTGACAGCGTATGTTTTTGTAGGATGATATGCTCGATTATGTTTAGAACAGGCTGTTTCTCCAGCTTACGCCTCATGCGAATGGGCCCCGTTGACTGGAACCTGCTGACTGGGACCCGCTGACTGGGACCCGCTGACTGGGACCCGCTGACTGGGACCCGCTGACTGGGACCCGCTGACTGGGACCCGCTGACTGGGACCCGCTGACTGGGACCCGCTGACTGGGACCCGATCATGATTGTTGACAGACGAAATAGTCGCTTGAATGCAGCCTTACGTTTCGAAAATATTAAAATAAAGCAAATGAATATTAAAAATAAATACTTTAATTCGTGTCATATGACATTGTTTTGATACATCGTGCTTTTTGGTGTTGCAAAATTCTAAATTAAAAATCATTAATTTAGCGCGCATTTTCGGTCATTTCTCGATACATTTTTGTGTTATAGTCGTTACTGCAGCGACGACAAAATCCCAAATAATTTTTAATGACAGCAAATGCATAGAACTTATACAACAGTGATGAAAAACACATAATCACATTTTTTATGATCAGATATGTTTCAATAACACTACAAAAAAAATTTACCGATCCAGAATCCAGCTTGTTCGTTGCTATTACAAGCTTTTATTACAAGCTTTTATTTAACTCACTTCCTCTGTCGTCAGTCGTCAGTCTGTCTAGACGGAAACGCAGGAGTGAAAATTCGGACAGTTCTACTTGACCGATACGATTCACAGTTGGCACGTGGGTCAAGACATGAAGACAATGCAATCTGAAACTAAATTTGACTTAATTGGATGCCTAATTAATTTTTTATGAATTAATAAAAATTTGGACCGAATTAGTAGGCATGTCTAGCCAACCACACCACACGCGTCATCACCTTCAATAGCTGCGCCATCACGTAATGGCTGCGTTCAAAAACCATTGCGCGCCTACTGAACGTGATGTTCAGTAGGCGCGCAATGGATTTTAGTCATGTAACTCTATTGTAAATAAAACATGTAAAGTACTGAAAAAAAATTTCATAAAAAACGTTTTAATAACAAGCTTTTATGTAACAATGCACTAAAAAGTAGAAAATAAATTATAGACTACTATATAAATAACTATAAAGAAAAGCGTGGGTGTCTTCCTTAACATTAGTAAAGGTATCCAATAGATACTAAAGTGACCCACGCTTTTCTTTATAGTTATTTATATAGTAGTCTATAATTTATTTTCTACTTTTTAGTGCATTGTTACATAAAAGCTTGTTATTAAAACGTTTTTTATGAAATTTTTTTTTTTAAAGTCTAGTTCTACATCCGGGATTGGAAATAGTGATTGAATCTTGTTCATAGGTTTAACGGCGCTTGTTTCAATCTTAAAATAAAAGAATAAAAAACAAAGCTCATCCGGCCAAAAATTGAACATGTAAGTTAACTCAAAGCTAAGGCAGACTTTGCTGGGTCTGTTATGACTAAAACTTTAGTTAAAAATTTGAACGTCTTCATTGTCTGAACTAGGGTTTAAAAGTTTAATCTGTCAGCGATGATAGTACTAGAATCTAGGTCTAGATCTATAACGGATATTAGATGCCAAGCTATAAGCCAAGGGTTCTTAGGTTATACAGAACCTAAACAGCTCCAAACATAACTGAACGGCAAGCATAGAGTGGCAGAGGCGGATTATGCATGGATGGGGGCCTTCGTTGGTCAAATCTGTCTCACGTAGCCCGACAGTATCGAGTCATTAATGGGGTCTCTCAATCCCTACCAGGAAATAAGAAATAAGTGGGGGTTAGGAGGGAACCTCAGTCTTCTTCAAGATGTGGATAGTGAAAAATGTTATCATAGTACTGTCTTCTTCATTCCTACACATGGAAAGGTCAACCCAAAAGATAAAATATATTTTCATGCCTATCTAATCTAAAATAGTACCAACAATTAAAGTTAATAAGTCGCTTAAATGTAAAAACATCTTATTTGACCCATATTTTAACATTCCATCATATGCTTAAACAATAAAAAAATTAGTTAACCTGCGAGATATGACAATAACTATATTGAAAATAGTATTTAAATTGAGAATAATCCGAGCTTTCAATGAGTGCTAGATTAAACGAACACTGCTGTGACCATATCACATCTATCAAGTCTTATTGTCCAAGTGTCACATGTTTTGCGAACAGAAAAGGGGCAGCTGTAAATATTACTTATGCTCATCAGGTCACTTTATTCACATACCAATTTGTACATGGAAGAATTGGAGGCAAGAAACAATAGATGTGTATACACAATTGATCCAGTAGATAGTCGATCGAATCTTTGTAATGATGAGCCAACTTTGGGCACACAAATTTCGAGGGCCCTAGATTGCTGCCCGGTCAGCCTCCCACTAAATCCGCCACCGTAAAGTGGTACTCTTGACCCCAGTAGGTGAAGATGTTTATGGCTGGTATTTATATCTGGTCAGAAAGCAAATAAAAATGTTTGAAAACAAAACGGATTGGTAAAGGCTAGCTTATATTAATGCTGCTAATGAGAATCAAGTATTGAAATAGTATTAAAATTATGGCCACGGATCACCTTGAACATGATTTAGAACCAGCGTTCCTTAATACAAGATTTGGGGACGTTAGGGACGTTATCAGTAGTCCCCAGGACCAAAAGATTACCTTGCTGTGGTCTAGTGCAGCAAGTTCATTGATAAACCGTCCACTTAGGTTCATGCAATAGATTAGGTTGTTTCTATAAAATTCAAATCTTTCCTGCAGATAAACAAAATACTATTTAAACATTTTTACTAAATATCTCACCAACCAGCCGCTTTTTAGTGAATGACTTATTTTTTTAACGGCCACTATTATACCACAACAAATGTACATAGTGGGACGGAGTGGTCTAGCGGTAGAGAGCTGGACTGCTAACCCGTAAATCACGAGATCGAATCCGGGTTCAAGTCAGCAGACCGTCCCTGAGTCCACCCAACTCTGATGGGTACCTAACTCACGTTAGGGAAAGTAAAGGCGGCTGGGCATAATGCTGACCACACTATCTCTTCATATACCGAGGTCACAGAAACAAGTGAACTCTACTTCACTTGCCCAATAGACCGTCAGGTTTGAAAGGGAAACTTAAAAAAAAAGTGTACATAGTTTCTGTTGCCTATAAGAAAATAGTTTAGAAGAGTAAGCAGCTGAGGACACTAAACATGTCAGTACCTCCCTCCCCTACATCACTACTTGTTTCGTTACCAATTCAAATTACTGTTTTTTTCCCCAATAATTATTAAATTAAAGTTTGTAATTTCAAAGAATTCAACATTCATCTCTTTTCAGAATTCAAAAACAAATATCGTTTTGTTTCCACATATTTCATTTTTCCGTTCCCACATGTTTGATTTTTTGTTTCCAAAAATTTCAGTTTCGTTTTTAAATTTCATCTTTTCTGTTCTCGGTCTGTGCAGATTTGAACCTTTTTTCTGTCTGTGTAGATTTGAACATTTTTCTTCTGCAGATTTGAACAGTTTTTTTTCTGTCTGCGCAGATTTGAACCTTTTTTTCTGTCTGTGCAGATTTGAAACTTTTTTTGTCTGTCTGCGCAGATTTGAACAGTTTTTTTTCTGTCTGTGCAGATTTGAAACTTTTTTTGTCTGTCTGCGCAGATTTGAACAGTTTTTTTTTCTGTCTGTGCAGATTTGAAACTTTTTTTGTCTGTCTGCGCAGATTTGAACAGTTTTTTTTCTGTCTGTGCAGATTTGAAACTTTTTTTGTCTGTCTGCGCAGATTTGAACAGTTTTTTTTCTGTCTGTGCAGATTTGAAACTTTTTTTCTGTGACCGAAGACCTGCAGGGTTCCAGCATGAGTTCCACGGGGAAGGTTGCCTTGGTTACAGGAGCAGCTCAAGGGCTGGGCAAAGCTTTCTGCGAGATACTTCTCAAGAACGGTGCCAAGGTGAGATCTTTCATGTCGTCTAAATCTGGGCTCTTGTATGTGTGGCTATCCACCCATGTCCCACCCACGTCCCACCCACATCCCACCCACGTCCCACCCACGTCCCACCCACATCCCACCCACGTCCCACCCACGTCCCACCCACATCCCACCCACGTCCCACCCACGTCCCACCCACATCCCTCCCACGTCACACCCACGTCCCTCCCACGTCCCACCCATGACCCACCCCTACACCACTTCACAATCCCGCACGTTGACACATTTCTCTACCCCCTCTCCCCCCTTCCCAAACACAAATAGTATTTCTAACTTTAAAACAAACAAAATATACAATTGTGACGCGTAAAGAAAACGAAGCCAAAATAATTTAATTAATTTTTTTCAAAATTAGACATCACCTTATGATCTATCACGTAATTAGCCGTTCCTTAATGAGTCATTATTTAATTAGCCACTTCTCCTCACCTGAGTCACAAAGACCTGTTACCCACAATTCATCATCTTAACATCGTGTCTGTTGAGGACGTGATTAATAATCATTTGGTTAATCCGGTAATTAACACACGCCCGCAGGGGCAACTACTTCTCAAGTTAAAAACATCTTTGGGTTGTTTTAGAGTTATCTATCCTGGCAGCCGAACTATTTGTTTACATGTTATATAAACATTGCTATGTCGGTGAAATTTTATCGCATGCACCATTTTTTTGTTTTTTTTGCAAAACTTTTTTTTATTTTTAAAATTCAAGGTGGCATTGACAGACTTCAACAAAGATGTAGGGGAGAAAACACTGAAAGAATTTGAAGCGAAATATGGTCAGAACCGCGTCATCTTCTTGCAGTGTGACGTATCCAATATGGCTCAGATGGAAGGTAAACATTGCATGTGTGACGTCAGAACTCGCTTATTTTGTGGATGAATGACGTCAGAACTCTCTTATTTAGTGGATGAATGACGTCAGAACTCTCTTATTTAGTGCAGGATTGACTTTCGTTCTCTTAATTAGGCTAGTTGACACACAAGGGAGGTAATAATGCTGGCACATTTGATATTAAAACTGTTTCAGTTAAGATAGTTGATCGAAACGGATGGTATAATTACTACTCGGTTTGGAATCTTGAGTTTAAAATATATTTTGTAGTCTTCAAGAAATATGGGGAGACACATCATTTACCCTTCCCCTATTTCCATTATTCCCTCCTCCACCTCGAAGCAAGTTCCCCTCCCCCCGACCGACCTTTTTCCAAATGGTATAGAATTAAATAGACAATATATACTTTAACCAGTGTCCGTCCACCCCCCGGAAAATTTTAGTTCGACCCCCCCCCCCCCAGAATGTGCCCCTCCCTCCCCGGAGAAAAAATCTAAAGAGACACCGCCCATGAGCACGTGACTGTTTACATATCCCGCTTTGGTTATCGCCGAGACTGGATGAGCCGTCAACCTTCTGTACACAGCTTCTATTTTAGACTGATAACAAAGCATTTCATTCAAATAGGCTAACAAGTGTTAGTGTTGTTGATTCGTCTATCTTGAAGAGGTTACAAGACTCACCCCCAACTATCCACCTCCCCCGTTCTATCGACTATAACTTCACACATACACAAGCGAGCACATGAAACAAAGTGTCTTTGAACCCATATACACAAGAGGGCGCATGCAACAAAGTGTCTTTGAAGACACATACACAAGAGAGCACACGAAACAAAGTGTCTTTGAACCCACATACAGAGCACACGTAACAAAGTGTCTTTGAACCAACATACAACCGAGCACATGAAACAAAGTGTCTTTGAATCCACATACAACAGAGCACATGAAACAAAGTGTCTTTGAACCCACATACACAAGCTAGCACATGCAACAAAGTGTCTTTGAAGACACATACAAAGCGAGCACATGCAACAAAGTGTCTTTGAAGACACATACAAAGCGAGCACATGCAACAAAGTGTCTTTGAACCCACATACACAAGAGGACACATGCAACAAATTGTCTTTGAAGACACATACAAAGCGAGCACATGCAACAAAGTGTCTTTGAAGACACATACAAAGCGAGCACATGCAACAAAGTGTCTTTGAAGACACATACAAAGCGAGCACATGCAACAAAGTGTCTTTGAACCCACATACACAAGAGGACACATGCAACAAATTGTCTTTGAAGACACATACAAAGCGAGCACATGCAACAAAGTGTCTTTGAAGACACATACAAAGCGAGCACATGCAACAAAGTGTCTTTGAAGACACATACAAAGCGAGCACATGCAACAAAGTGTCTTTGAACCCACATACACAAGAGGACACATGCAACAAATTGTCTTTGAAGACACATACAAAGCGAGCACATGCAACAAAGTGTCTTTGAAGACACATACAAAGCGAGCACATGCAACAAAGTGTCTTTGAAGACACATACAAAGCGAGCACATGCAACAAAGTGTCTTTGAACCCACATACACAAGAGGACACATGCAACAAATTGTCTTTGAAATGATTCCAGAAACTTTCAAGAAAGTCAAAGAGAGCCAAGGCGGACTGGACATCGTCATTAACAATGCTGGGGTGGGGGGTGAGATGGGTGACCAGTGGATAAAGACAATTGATATTAATGTGGTAAGTTAGGTGGGGGGGGGGGGGTGCGGGCGGGGGGAGGGTGAGTTGAGGGGGGGTGCGGGCGGGGGGAGGGTGAGTTGAGGGGGGGGGTGAGGGGGGAGGGTGAGGGGATGGGATGGGTGACCAGTGGATAAAGACAATTGATATTAATGTGGTAAGTTGGGGGGGGGGGTGGGTGGGGGCGAGATGGGTGACCAGTGGATAAAGACAATTGATATTAATGTGGTAAGTTGGGGGGGGGGGGTGGGTGGGGGCGAGATGGGTGACCAGTGGATAAAGACAATTGATATTAATGTGGTAAGTTGGGTGTGGAGTGGGGGAGGGGGGGCTGGTGGGAGGTGATGGGGTGGGATGAGATGGGTGACCAGTGGATTAAAAAATGGATATTAATGTGGTAAGTTAGGTGGGGGGGGGGGGGGAGTGGGGCGGGGGTGAGTTTAGGGGGGGGTTAGGGGGTGGGAGGGTGAGGGGAAGGGATGGGTGACCCTTGGCTAAAGACACTTGAATAGTAATGCGTAAGGTGGGGTTGGGTGGGGGATGAGAGCAGTGGTAAAAGACAATTGATATTTATATGGTAAGTTAGGGGGTGGGGGAGTATATATGTTATCGATTAAAAAATGTTGTTCGACTTTCAAATATATTTTGTAAACCTTAAAAACAAATCATGTTTATTTGTTGATGATACAATCTCATGGTTTCACATTTCAGAAGGGCACAATTAAGGGCACCATGCTAGGCATTGACCTGATGAGGAAGGACAAAGGGGGGAATGGTGGTGTCATAGTAAATTTGTCATCTATGTCTGGTGAGTGACTGATGTCAAAATGGGATGTTGGATGGTGTCTATGTGTATGTGTGTGTGTCTGTTCTATGTTCTATGTAAGTTGTATGTGTGTTTTATGTGTGTTGTAAGTGTGTGGTATGTATGTTGTGTGTGTGTGTTTTATGTGTCTGATTGATGTGTCTGATTGATGTCAACATGGGATGTTAAATGGTGCGTGTGTCTGTGTTGTACATGTTCATTCTCCCAAAGGTTCGACTACATTATTTTGACTATGTTGCAGCATTGAACCCCAACCCATGTGGACCCGTGTACTCAGCTACTAAAAGTGCTATCATCTGTTTCTCTCAGGCTTGGTCGGTAGGTGCTGTATGGTGTGTATGTGTGTGTGTGTGGGGGGGGAGGTAGTTGTTGTTGGGGGATGTGGGGGGGGGGTGTTGTCAGGTTGGGTGGGTGAGGGAGTAATGGTGGAGGGTTTAACCTGTGTAGGTTTTTCAAGGGTAAGGCTTTCGAGAATTGAGACATAGCAATAGAATCAATTGCACAAACAGCATCGCAATATTGTTGTACAAACTATGTCCTCATAATGTTGTACAAATGTTGTCCCCATATTGTTGTACAAACTATGTCTCCATATTGTTGTACAAAATATGTCTCCATATTGTTGTACAAACTATGTCTCCATATTGTTGTACAAACTATGTCTCCATATTGTTGTACAAATGTTGTCTCCATATTGTTGTACAAAATATGTCTCCATATTGTTGTACAAATGTTGTCCCCATATTGTTGTACAAACTATGTCTCCATATTGTTGTACAAACTATGTCTCCATATTGTTGTACAAACGTTGTCCCCATATTGTTGTACAAACTATGTCTCCATATTGTTGTACAAAATATGTCTCCATATTGTTGTACAAACTATGTCTCCATATTGTTGTACAAACTATGTCTCCATATTGTTGTACAAATGTTGTCCCCATATTGTTGTACAAATGTTGTCCCCATATTGTTTTACAAACTATGTCTCCATATTGTTGTACAAAATATGTCTCAATATTGTTGTACAAACTATGTCCTCATAATGTTGTACAAATGTTGTCCCCATATTGTTGTACAAACTATGTCTCCATATTGTTGTACAAACGTTGTCCCCATATTGTTGTACAAACTATGTCTCCATATTGTTGTACAAACTATGTCTCCATATTGTTGTACAAATGTTGTCCCCATATTGTTGTACAAATGTTGTCCCCATATTGTTGTACAAACTATGTCTCCATATTGTTGTACAAAATATGTCTCCATATTGTTGTACAAATGTTGTCCCCATATTGTTGTACAAACTATGTCTCCATATTGTTGTACAAATGTTGTCCCCATATTGTTGTACAAACTATGTCTCCATATTGTTGTACAAACTATGTCTCCATATTGTTGTACAAACGTTGTCCCCATATTGTTGTACAAACTATGTCTCCATATTGTTGTACAAACTATGTCTCCATATTGTTGTACAAACTATGTCTCCATATTGTTGTACAAATGTTGTCCCCATATTGTTGTACAAATGTTGTCCCCATATTGTTGTACAAACTATGTCTCCATATTGTTGTACAAACTATGTCTCCATATTGTTGTACAAACTATGTCTCCATATTGTTGTACAAACTATGTCTCCATATTGTTGTACAAATGTTGTCCCCATATTGTTGTACAAACTATGTCTCCATATTGTTGTACAAACTATGTCTCCATATTTTTGTACAAACGTTGTCCCCATATTGTTGTACAAACGTTGTCCCCATATAGTTGTACAAACTATGTCCCCATATTGTTGTACAAACGTTGTCCCCATATTGTTGTACAAACGTTGTCCCCATATTGTTGTACAAACGTTGTCCCCATTTTGTTGTACAAACGTTGTCCCCATATTGTTGTACAAACGTTGTCCCCATATTGTTGTACAAACGTTGTCCCCATATTGTTGTACAAATGTCCCTATATGGTTACCTACGATGTGCTCATATTGTTACCTACGATGTGCTCATAATGTTACCTACGATGTGCTCATCATGTTGTACACATTGACCAGAGAAATCCTGAGCTGGCACAGAACGGAGTCCGTGTCAATGTCCTGGCCCCAGCCTTTGCCGACACCCAACTGGTCCAGTCGCTGATCAACGGTCAGACCCAGACGTATGCCCCAGCCATCCAGAAGGTTTTCTTTGAGAAGGCTGGGATTATGACGTAAGTTTTAGGACGGGATTATGACGTAAGTTTTAGAAGGCTGGGATTTTGACGTTTTATTGTTAGTAGGTCGGATTATGACGTAAGTTTTATTGTTACTAGGTCAGATTATGACGTAAGTCTAGAAGGACGGGATTATGACGTAATTTTTATTGTTACTAGGTCAGATTATGACATAAGTTTTAGAAGGACGGGATTATGACGTAAGACATGATTACGTTACTGTGAACCTTTTTGATTAACTAACTGTTACTAGTATAACTGCTCCCAAAACATAAAATAAAAATTATATTTAGAGATCCTGCAGGAACAAAATTATAACAAAATTATTAGGCAATACTCGCCCTCTTTATGTTATATAACATGTGCATCAGGGGCGTAGCCATATTTAAAAAAATGTTGTCTACATAATCAGTCTGAGTTGCTTTAATTTTAGAAGTTTTTGAATAAATAATTATCTTAGAAAAGCGCCACCCATTTGGTAATGCAATGGAGGGGAGCGTCCGCCCCACTGCACCCCCATGGGTTACGCCTCTAATATGACTAACCATTTATTTTCTCGCCGCTCCACAGACCCGAGACGGTGGCGGAGGCTCTCTATGAACTCGTGGATGACCAAAATAAAACTGGCGCCGTTCTAAAAATATCTCAAGCTGGCGGTAAAGACTACGTCACCTCTTAACTGACGTCATAACTCCGACGTCAAGTTGTTACAAGATGCTGCCATGTTGACTGTTATATTGTGTGCATCGCTGTGAAGTAGAATGTTATTGACTGCGTGGATGTTATTTTATGCTGAATGTTATGGATTTATTTTCCTAGAAAATTTTGGAAACGTGTGTCGTACATGTCCTTGAAATGTTATTTAGGTGAATGCTAGATTTTAACTTGATTTTCTATTGCTAGAATAGTGATCGAATAAATGTGCAATTTTAGCTAAAGTAATAGTTATAAAAAGTAATTTTGTAGCTGTTTCCCCTTTTTGTTAATATTTATATTCAGCACTTATAATAAAGGGGAAAGAACCGATTAAATTAGTGAATAAAGCGGGGTTTTGTGAGTTTGTGGGTTTTAACCCGCGAAATTTTAACTACATTTTAAACAGTTGTTTTTTACTTATTGGGCTAGTAAAGTATAAATTAATTTTTCATACTGAAATCTTGATTTCTTATTAAAACAGGGAATCCATTATTTTGTGTTCACCATTTCCTGTAAATTTTGTTCAGAGAGAAATTTTGCTGCCTAGTTAAAAGTAAAGTACAGTTTGAGACTAGATGGTCAAGAGGGAAGCTGAAGTAGAGTTCATCTGTTTCTCTGTCCTGGGCATATTAAGGGATAGTGTGGTAAGTGCTATGCCCAGCCTGTTTAATATTCCATGAGATGAGATGATACATATCGTGTTGATAAATGGATAAAAAAAGATTTCAAAAAATATTCGCCAAGTACTGTTAACATACGGCAGTGAGTTATTACAAGGAAAAGGGTGATGTCATTCGACAGAAATAACACAATCAAATCATTAATTTTACACATAATTTAATAATGCGGCAATAAAAATAAATAATTGAAATTTTCTGAGAAAATCTAGGAAGTACAAGGGATAAAAAAAATTCATAAATGTAAATTTCAAGTTAACATAAGGCTAACATAAGGTTAACATAAGTTTAACATTCGCCTCAAACTCAAATCTAATTACTTCACTTAACAGTGAAGTTAAAACACAGTGAAGATATTGTTGTAGAACACACAAAAGTAAAGCAGGAGTGACAGACAGACAGATAGACAGGCAGACAGACAAACGGACGGACAGACAGACAGACAGACAGACAGACAGACAGACAGACAGACAGACAGACAGACAGACAGACAGACAGACAGACAGACAGACAAACAGATATTTTCTTCCAAATACTTTCAACCAAAACTTTTCACCCAAATGGCTTTAGATCCATTTTCATTTATTCAAGATATCATATTACATTTTCTTATAATTAATAACTGTAGCTGAAAAATACCCCCCCCCCCCCCGTGATCCCACCATTGCATTAGAAGATGTAAAAAAATCCCCACAACACCTGATAGGTTTGATTGACAGGCCAACAGAAAAAATATGGGACTATCTGTAATCTGATCACGTGACACGTTTCATTCAGGTTTTTTTTTTCGTTCATCCCATTCACCTCATTGATAATATGTCTGATGCTAGATTTACCGCCCCTCACTGAGTGGATGGAGGATTTACCACTCCCCCCCCCCCTCTCCCTTACAGAGTGCATGCCTCTGTAATCAGGGAAGCAGGATTTACCGCCACTGGTAGAATAAATGGAGGATTTACTGCCACTGACATAGTGTACGCTAGATTTAACGCACCTGAAATCACGGATGCTAGATTTACCGCCCCTAAGATAAATGATGCACGAGGTACTGCCCCTGAAATCAGGGATACTGGATTTGCCACCCCTGACAGCACTGATAACTAAAGTTACCTCCCCTCACATTATGGATGCTGGATTTACCACCCCTGACATTAATGATGCATGAATTACCGCCCCTGACATTACGGATGCTAGATTTACCACCCCTCACATCACGGATGTTGGATTTACCACCCCTGACAGCACCGATAACTCAAGTTACATCCCCTCACAGCGTTGCTGTAAAAGAAGCTCGCGAGATAAACACGAGATTTGGGTTTAAAAGAGAAAAAAACATTTCTAGTTTTAGTAGCAGATAGCGGACTTTACCCAGGAGAGCTGAGAAGTGGCAGACGACTTTAATCATCGCTGCAGTCTGGGTCGGTTACATCATTAAGTCGAGGCTTCATTCTGGACATTATTAAGTCTGGACATGCTAGGTTACATGGCAAGCATTATACGTTTAATGAGACATCCTTAATGAAGTGCTTTCTAGGTAGGTTTAATTATGGCTATCGTTAATCCGGACCATTGGGGCGCTTCTAGTTTTTATGATGGGCATCTTTAATCCTGAGCTTCCTAGGTGTAATGATCGGCACCCTTAATCTAGAGTCTAGAGAATATGTGCCCTACTAGTTATAATAATGGACATTCTTAATCCTGAGCTTAGGTTTAATGATGGGTACCCTTAATCCTAAGCTTCTTATGTTTAGCGATGGTTATCCTTAATCCAAATCTTATGGGCCCTACTTGTTTTTATGATGGATATCCTTAATCCTGAGCTTCATAGATTTAATGATGTTTATCCTTAATCCTGAGCTTTTGGGTCCCGTTGCAATTTTTATGATGGACATCCTTAATCCTGAGCGTCCGAATTTTAATTACGATCATCCATAAATCTCGACATTCTAGGCTATATAATGTATCCTCGACTTAATCCTGATATTCTGGTCTTAATCTGATTGTGTTAATCTTCATCTTGGCTGTAGAATATAACCCTGACTTTATCGTAGATGAGTAAAATAACCGAGACACACCTTCATCATGTGTGATAACATATAACGTAATCAAATCTTTTTTACCTTTATAGTCCGGGTAAAAACAGCTGTAGCATCGGTACCAGCTGTTGCGTTTCACGGTGTTTGGTTTGATGATTCCCCGGGAAAAAAATCCGCCTCTCTAACGTTTTTTTTTATGTGACAGAAGTATAACTTGAGAAGCCTCGGGAATTTTATTTTTTATTTTCGTGTTTCTCGCGCTGGGGGTCATGGCCTTGACGTGGGTGAAACCTTTCGCACGGTGGGTAAGCTCAGCTTATCCGGGGTTCTCAGTCTATAAGACGCACATACCCCATTTACCTTTCGCACGGTAGGTAAGCTCAGCTTATCCGGGGTTCTCAGTCTATAAGACGCACATACCCCATTTACCTTTCGCACGGTGGGTAAGCTCAGCTTGTCATAGGTTCTCAGTCTGTAAGACGCACATACCCCATTTACCTTTCGCACGGAGGGTAAGCTCAGCTTATCCGGGGTTCTCAGTATGTAAGACGCACACACTAAGTCTCCTTATGTACTTTTTCCGATTCCCCAATATTTGTTTGAGCATTGAGCGACATTCTGTTGGTCACATCGCCGCACAGCTGTGGAGCAATGGAGCAGACAGATGAACACACCGTCCCCTATCACTTCCACGATTTGGTGGAGCATTAAGCAGACGAATAGATTCATTTATTTCCATGACAGCTTAGTGTGTGGTGGATCATGGAAGAGATGAACGCATATCCATCTGTTCCCTACAACTGTCTGATTTTTTTGCTAGGTCATCAAGCAGACGGATACAGATCCATTCGGATTTTTCTGCTATTTGGTGTGATCATGGAGCAGACGAACACAGATCCACCCATCCCCTCCCACTGTTTGGTGGATCATGGAACAGACAACCAGATATCCACCATCCACTCCCACTATTTGGTGTGATCATGGAGCAGACGAACACAGATCCACCCATCCCCTCCCACTGTTTGGTGGATCATGGAGCAGACGAACACAGATCCACCCATCCCCTCCCACTGTTTGGTGGATCATGGAGCAGACGAACACAGATCCACCCATCCCCTCCCACTGTTTGGTGGATCATGGAGCAGACGAACACAGATCCACCCATCCCCTCCCACTGTTTGGTGGATCATGGAGCAGACGAACACAGATCCACCCATCCCCTCCCACTGTTTGGTGGATCATGGAGCAGACGAACACAGATCCATCCATCCCTTACCACTGTTTGGTGGATCATGGAGCAGACGAACACAGATCCACCCATCCCCTCCCACTGTTTATCTTTGTGCATCCCTCTCTTCTAGCGCCCACTGACTTAACTCTGGTGTTTCATAACCAGGTACACCCCCACCCCACACCCCCCACCCCCACATCTAAATCAACAGGGACGGGGCGGGAGGATGGATGCAGCAGAAACCTTCCCGTCTGTTGCAGACGTGAAAGTGTAACACGTTGCTCGCCGACTTTGTTCAGTTTTCGATTTCGCCCAGTGGGAGTAAGAGCTGAAAAAAAAAAAGCGCGCACGATCGTAAGTAAAAAGTCGTCTGCTAAGGTTTTAATTGGGCTGTTAGTAGATTAGAGGTATCTTAACTGTAATTAGTAACTAAAGTTGTTTAATTAAGTCGAGGGCATTAATGAACCGAGATATGTTAAGATACAAGAATGTTGGTCATTAAATCACCGCTTTCACGCAAGTTCTTTTTTTATTTTTGTTTTGCAGTCGTGAAGTTTTGTTTTTAAAAAAATTGAACTGCTCTCAATTCGTACAGTTTCAACTCGTGTAACAGTTTTTTGTTTGTTTTGTTTTTACCTAAGTCGATATACTTCATGTGATTAACACGCTCGACTCAAATAACTGGAGTTTATTTTAAAATCAATAGCTTACAGTCGTATTGACTATATTTAGCTGGCGTGTTTTATTTATCGTTGGAGACCATAGTAGAACTTGATTTCACTGGGGAAGATGAGATCTGATATAATGTGTAGACAAAGGGGCAGGTGGGCGATTTCTGTTACTAATTGGGTTTATCCTTAATTAATGATTTCTTCAAACTTGATTCAACAATAGTCGGCACTATGCCCAGCCGCGTTGAGTGAAGTACTACGACAAAAAGTGTCTAAAATATATGCAGTAAGCCGTGGAGCCACACCCTCCACCAACAACTGTATAACTGATGCACTAAAACTATCGGGAGTTTGGTGTCACCCCCAACCCTCTCCCAAATTGTATTATTCAATTAGATTTGGTAAACTCAGACTTTCTCATTAAAATATTTTTTTTTACATTTTTAAGGCACTGCTTTGAGTAATGTCATCGGGTTATGACCCCCCCCCCCCCCCATCATCTCCTTGTGACTCCACTGTAAAAAGTTCGTATCTGTACTAACAGACATAATCTACTAACTGACATCTCTTCTCTACTCCTACAGTACCGTGTTGCCTGTACCAATTCTTGTATTCCAACACCGTCCACTCACTGAATCGTTTTCTTAAATCAACACAACAATTCAATTGTACAATTAAACAGTTACATAACCACTCTCTGAACTTGCTATTCTTTTCGATCTACTAAAATAAAAATGAAAATATCGCAGAACATAAATTACATATCCCTACATGTCTTTACACCCTACCCAGAGTTTTTTCCACGACCACCTGCCTTGCTCAGCACCCCGACCCCCACCAATTACTACACCCCGCCCCCCACCAATTACTACACCAT